TTGCTCGCGCCTCCCGCGAGCCCTCCCGCAAGCCTTCCCTCTGCTCGCGCCTCCCGCGAGCCCTCCCAACTGCTCGCGACTCCCGCGAGCCCTCCCGCTGCTCGCGCCTCCCGCGAGCCTTCCCTCTGCTTGCGACTAGATTTTTTATTTAAAATAGCATATTTTTATTTAAAATTTTAAATAATTATATTAATTATATTATATTTTATATTTTTATATTTTAGCGTCTCGCTTCGCTCGGGCGAGCGCCTTGGGCGTTTTTGGACCTTGGCGCCTAGCGCTTTTTAAATCACTGATCCAGTCAGATCTGAATCTTAATTCCTGCTGCATTTTGCCTAAGCTATGTTCTGATGCAAGAAAAGCTACAGGTTGTCTTTTACCGACTCCAAGTTGAATGAAAACTTCAATTGTATTTTTTCATAGCATTTTTAGATAATTATATCTTTTATTTTTAGTGATTGTTATAGGAAAGTTTTCTATTTTGAATTATTCTAATGCCTAAGAGTTCTGGTTCACACATAATTAGGAATAAGAAAGTTATTCTGGTTGTGTTCATATGACATCAAATTTCTAAAAACACAAGTCTTGCCTTTTCTTTTTTAAATGCCTCATCATAGAAATAAAAGTTGATATCCAGTTAAATTCACAGTCAGACAAAGCTTTCTTTGCAGCAATAGTTAATGTTAGCAGAGAATGTTGCTAAGAAATAATGGAATGCTAACTCAGGTATTCATATTACATGGCTAACTTATCCTCAAAACTTCTATATACTTCTATGGGACTAAGGAGATTTGGTTGAATGTTCTCATCTGTCAGTATGTACAAGGACCATATTCTGAGCACTGTAAATTCAGCACCAGGTTGAACCTTCCTTCAGCTTACACTCGTCTGACAACATTATGATCCCCATAATTTGTTTGCATAATAAAGAGAAAATAGACTTTGCCAACATTGAACAGCATAAATGACCATTCAGGAAACAAGAGGAATCCCGATGAACGTGTTATATAAAATTAGCAAGTAAATAACAATACCTTTTTTATGGAGAGGATTAATCCATGGATGAATCTAGGAGGAGTGCAGTTTATTCCAACAGCCACTACCTTCTTACATGAATCAGCAATCGAGACACATTCAGTCAATGAATCTCCACTAACCACATTAACACCATCCTTTGAATTAAAAGAAAACCAAGCAGGAATGCTTATATTATCTTCCTCAAGAAGTTCAGCATATGCCTGTCAAAACACAGATAAAAAGGAATCAGAAACATTAATCACACCAATTAAAGCACAAAACTAGCTAGAGGTTGTGAACGTCCAAGAACTTGGGGATAACACTTTCAAAAATTCAAGATTAAAAAATAGGTTTAACTTCAATACTGATTCTACATTTAGTTAGGATGGATTGGGGAAGATCAAATCGACCATGGAGCAAGTAGATGGATCACAAGTCAATCAACACCTGATCTGCGTATATCTTTCAATGCTTTCTCATCTTAGGGGATTTGGACTTAAGACATTTAGAGAGGTGCATGAAAACTAAAAGAAGCAGCAAATCTTTTACAATATAAGGTACATGGGAGGAAGAAGGGTATTGTCACCAAAGAAATAATTTTCTTTTAGAACAATTTCTACAAAGGAGTATCAATAAAAGGTCACAACAAAAATTTAAAACTCATTCTGATGATGGTTTTGACATCCAGTCAGACCATTATCATACAAATATACATCACAATATACCAGCCTGCACCATCTATAATCATCAAAAGAAAAAATAAAAATTAATTACTAATTGATACCAACCTATATGGTCCAGTACCTGCCTAACCAGTAAATGTAAGTTGAAACCATAGGTTATACTACAGTATTTAAATACACTCAATGCAACACAAACTGTGGTTGCATCTCTAAGGGTCCATAGAGAAATGTATAAACATGAAGAACAAAGGAATTACAGTGCAAAAACCAGAACTTTCACGGGTAAGATGCAAAGAAACTATTTTATGAACTTGAGAATGAAGACTTGACTCCATTAGACAAGCTCATCAACTATAACTACCTGAGCTTCCAATTTATTTGGAATTGTTTCAAAAACTATCAAATCAGCACCTCCTTCAGCAAGGACCTCAAGTCTTCTTCTATGAAAATCCTTCAAATTTTCTATGGTCATATCTTTGCCATAGTGCCCACTAGCAATATCAATCACTCATCAGTGAAATAACAAACAGAAAATAAGCAAGTTATAATATAGCAGTACTCAGTTGATCAACCTATACTCAGAACCATCTGCTAAATAAGCTCCATAGCTTCCTATGGAGGCTGCCACCAAAACAGTGTGCTTTTTAATGTCACTTTGGCCACCATATCCTCTTAAGCAATCGTTATAAAATATATCACGAGCTTCACGTGCAATTTGAACACTTCTCCGCAATAAGTCTTCACTTTCTTCTTGAGAGAAGCCCCTTGACTTGAAACCCTGAATGGTAGCCTGCTTCAATAAATGTCAGTGTGATATAAAAAATCATCAGAAAATATATCATCAAAAATAAAAGAAAAAAATAAGTTACCTGATAGGATGATGTGATTATAACATGTGCACCAGCTTCAAGATAGTCCAGATGAACCTGTTCAGTAAGATAAAACAGTAAAAGGCACCGCTAGGTGCAGGATACAGTAAACACTGGTTTCTTCAGGAAGAAAATGAAGTATTATGTGGAGAGGTGTCATTAGTAATGAAACTTATTTGTTCATATCATCAACAGAAACTGATAGGTCAGGTGATATTAATAGTCTATATTACTTACACACCAAGTTCCATTGTATTTTTTGCCAAACAATTACCAGATAGTGAAAAATGCGGATCTATAAAGAATTTTACATAATCTTCCCTTACACCTCTGAAAGTGAGAAGTCAACAGAAGCCCATCAACTTCAATAATATGCATCCTTATAGATATAAGTAAACTATAGTAAGATTGACAATCGAAAGATCTATCAACATCACCAAGGGTTGCATATGTTAACAAAAACACTAGTCAATTTCCTTAACAGGAAACCTGAAAAATGTCTTCTTCCTCTTCTAGTTCTGTGATATGAGCTTGACTGGTAGTGAACATGAACCATTGAAGCTATCAACAGAGCACAAATGCTTGGCCATGCAGATTCATGCCAAGCGAGAGTCAGATGATTTATCAATATCAATATGTTGGCCTGCCAAGAAGCATGTTGGCCGTGCCAACAGGGTACTAACATAGGGCTCCAGGCACACCAAAGGTGTATCTGCCCATGCTATGTCATCATGTCTGACATGTTTCATGATATACACAAAAATCAGAACTTACAATATATATATATATATATATATATATATATATATATATATATATATATATATATATATGCTGTAAGAACACTAAGATGACTAACTAGACTGCAATACATCAAATGAATGATTAAAAATTAAGTGACAACATAAGTAATTATAGAAAGGACATATCCAGTTTGGCTCAATCAGATGGGTGATGATGATGCATTCCTGCAATTCATATTATTTGCCATATTGGCATTGCCAAGAAAGAACTGTTCCATGTTTGAATGGAGAAAGAAAACCTAATTATTAGACAAGGTTGCTAAATAGAAAAAATGTCATCTATCCTAGCCATTTACCAAGCAAAACCTCTATGCTAAGCCCCGTATGACCAGCAGTCCAAAACTGATGGACCTTGATCAGAATCGATAAATTTTACATTCTGTAGTTTCTATAATCCAGTTTTACACTTTGATTATGGCCAACAAGCCAGACATTTCTCACATACAAAACTCCTTTTTTTAACAAAAAAATCACTCACTAAACAACAAACAAGAGTCTCAAGACTGAACATAGACAAGGCCAAGTGACAGACTCAAATCAGAACATAAACAATGTTTATTAAGACGAACTAATTCCAAATTGTATTTTGATCATTAACTTGTTTTGAACCCTCAATAACTCCTCCATATCCAAATGAATAGTTGAATATCAGTATACCATGTTGTTCTTCTCCTCTTAGGACCAAATAAAACAAGCACCGAGCCTTCATTACTGGCATAAGCCTGCTTATTAGTTTCAGTTGCCTCGACTCATAACAAATTTCTACTTGTCTTGAAGAAGTACCAGTTCATCCATTGGGAATCCTCTAATTCCATCAGGATACTCAATCCCCAGCACCCAACTATTAATTTGTCATATGCATGTAACAGCTCTCCCTCTTCACATAATAAGCTTATCATAATATGATCAACATCAACTTTCTTTGTTTATTAACTCAAGCCGCAGGAACCAAATTGAAAGAAGAGTTTTTTTTTCCTCCTAATTTATTCTTTTGATAAGCAAGGTTTTGTTTCTTTAAATTCACCTTCGGCTATTGCAAAACTTCGAAAGTAGAGCCATAGGTTCACATCCTTTCAGTAAATTTGGTCGATAGTCTAATTTCTCATTTAAGGGGAAAAAAACCCTATTTATTACGCCACTTTCTTTTCCTTGTAACATCTGCACCAAACAAAGCTAGGATCGTATCTAACTTAATCTAGATGAGAAGCCCATAAACCATCGTTACATTCACCAGGGTAAAAAATTTTATTTTTTTCGTTCGATAATTACAAATCCACAATACACCGCAAGGTTAGAAGTCAACATTTTTCGGAAGCATAGGACAAAAAAGGAAGTCCATTGGACAGCTAACCTTGCGGATGAGGTGGGGGGAGCCAATGAGGCATTTGGCGCTCCAGAGAGGGTCGTTGAGATCGGCGCCATTGGCCTCGAGCTCCGTTGCGAGCCCGCCGTCGATGACGGCGCAGCCCCCGACCTGGTGGAGAAACTCCCTCATCACCGCCTGCGGATCGCCGCTCCCAAACCCCATCTCATCTCACAAACGCACGCAAAGAGAGAGAGAGAGAGAGAGAGAGAGAGAGAGGTGGCGGATGGAGGAGAGCAGCGGAACGCCGCCTCGGACGTGTACGTCTCTTACATTCAAGAAAGCCATGCGTTTCTCTACATGTTTTGACGTACCCAACCAAATACCTGCCTTGTAAGATTGCGCATTGACGAAGCCTGACGGTCCCATTTTCTGGGGCGTGGCGAAACAGGAAGCACAAAGATGAACGGGTGACGGATAGATGAGTATGAGAAGTACGAGGTTTTATTCTGCGGGCGTCACTGCCGATGGGTGTTTTTAGTTACCCGGATATTAAACCTGCATCGTTGTTGGGAACTTTCCGGGACCCTTGCGGGACCCACGAGCTAGGTGACTGCTGCCTCCAATCAAGATGCAGGTATGATCGGGGTGTAATAAAACCGGGTATTATAATGACTTTCTTTGGAGGTAAATAAGGGAGAGATGACGTGTTCAAAACATTTTTTATGATCAATATAAAACTTGCATTGTGAAAACTTGGAAGTTTCAGGACAACCTTTTAATTTAAATCAAGGAAAATGATTTGAATGCCAAATACATGTTACAATCTTTGTGAATGATTGTGAGATAGCTAAATTATTTCAGATAGTAAAACACAGTTTTATCTTCGTTAGAAAATCGACAATTTGGGAAGCTCATGATCCGGCTAATTAATCTTTTTTTTTCTTTTAACTTAGCCGTCTAACACCTAAGATCGACACAAAATTATTTGAATGGATTTTGTTCATCTATAAGAAAATATATGATTAATTTTGTGAAGGATATTTATCCTATCTTATTATTTGTGACAAAATTGATAATATTTTAACTATAATTTATAATATCGTATCATACCATTTGGTTCCAACACTACATACCGAGAGAACCGGTAGAGATATTGGTACACCTTAGTGCACCATATATCGGTATGTTTAATACGTATTGTATCGATAACTAATCGATGTATCGATACGGTATAATATTCAAGACCTTGATTTTAACTGACGCACTACAAATGGATGATAGATTTAGATTTGATAGATTTTGATGTTCTTCCGGTGGCCGTAGAGGCCAACAGGAAATTGTGACGGAAGTCTCTTTCAGATTGTTCTAATCGCTTTACACACTGCCGAACATAAAAATATATTTCTTGATAATTCGGATCATAGAAGGAAATTATTATACAAAGAAGCAAATATGCAAACATATGTTTCTGTGATGGTTTTGGATAAAATCTAAACAGCAATGTCTCATGGATGACTAGTGACTGACTTGATAAGATGTTGTACATGGTAGGCCAGAATACACATAAGCTACTGAGGGAAAGTTGTCTTTGCATCTTTGAGATGGTTTTTGTGCATGCATTAGTTGGCTGTTTATATGTAATGTTAACTTCACTCTTGCACTTAACAATCCATCACCACCATCTGTGTTTTCCCTATCAAGCTTGTATTGATGTTATAAAGATCTGCCAAATGTTCTCTCTCTCTCTCTCTCTCTCTCTTTTCATCTTCTCTCTTTGTTAGCCAACCACATTTTTTCATCCTAACAATTATATACATCCTCAAGCAACCGATGGCAAAAACTTCTTTGTTTTTTGAGAAATCATTTACTTCTATTATTTTCTGAAGTCCATCTTCCCTCTCAGTTTTTTTCCCTACAAAGGGGATTTCTCTGTCCCTCTTATCTCTGCTTTGGATGGGATTTTCGTAATAGCTTGATGTTCATAAACAACCTGAAATAGATCTTATGTATCTCTCAAACTGGATCGGTTTGAGATTACATGAACTTATCAAGCTCAAGCCAATCACAAGCAATGAAATGTTTGTTTAAACAAGGAAAATGCAACACTTGCATAAGAACTTAAGTTGCCAGTAAAACAAAAGAGAAGAAGATATCAAGACGGAAATATATTTTCCATAAATGCATTCAGCTCCTGATTCCAACAGGTAAGAGGACTGGGCTGATCCATACAGGAAAAGAAGAACTACATATCTTCCAAAATATAATTTATGACTACTAGGCAATATGAGCATATGAAGCAAATAATCTATTTATGACTCTTCATTGATGTCTGGGATGGAGTGGGAGAATAAAGAGGAATGACAGTTGATGGAGAAGGGTTCAAAAGGTAGAGATAGTGCTGTTGACCTGAGTCAATGGATTGGCCCATTGCCACAACAAATATGTTTTTTGACATAACAATCAATAGTTTGAGAGGAAAAAAAAAGTCATTTTACCTGACCACATGATCATTCCGTTGGGTAACTGCTACATTGTCAATGACAAGATGAGCACCTGGGAATGATGATCATGCTTTACTTATGAAGTGCTACTGGCTTCAGTATCTGCATCTACCATGCGGTTAGTTGCCGGACACTCAACACCACTTCTAGGAGAAGAAAGGGTTGATGATGAAGATGATGCATCAGGAACTGGGGGGTTTGAGAGCTGAGCTTGCCTCTGTGAATCTCTTCTGAAGCTCAGTGGGTCCAGTGGTGGATGTTGGGGATTTTGTGGAACATGAGGCTGTCCCTGGCCCTCATCAGCAAGTCTTCTTAAAATGTCCATAACAGTAGGAAGAAATCTTGTTGACAGCGAGAGAAAGCCAGAGAGCTGCATTTAGATAGTGTCAGAATCATCAGCAGTATAAGGGTAAACGATCTTATCACACTAAATTATCTTGATTTACATTCCTAGTTCCCCGTTGATCTAATGACCTGCTGGTTTGCAGGCACATGACAAAACCCACTTACTGAGGACTCTGCTGTGGTAGGATGGACACCCAGGTTTGCAATGCTGAACAACTTCTGTTTAAACTTTCAGCAATCAGAAAGTCTATAACCTTTCCTTTTTTATTTACCTCAAACCATGCATTTAATGATACTACCAATTCACAGAATTGCATGATACTCTCACAGATATCTTACAGATAACATTTTCATTCAATTTTCAAATACTGTTGTAAGTTTTCAGAGTAATAAAAAGATCAAAGAAGAAACAGGGCTGAACCCTTCTTTCGGAAGAATGGCTGCACATGAAACTTGATAGACAGTAACAGATGGACTTCTTGGTGCAAACAAAAAAATAAAAAAACACTTACAAAAAAATTAGTGTTGTTCAATCAGAATTATTAAGGTGGACTTGCATCATCTAAATTTCTTCACTGCTTGAAGAAAAGATGACTCAAGCCTTTTTGCTCCTATAACAATAAAGATCATCCTACATGCACATGAGGAAGATGTTGATCAAAACCCTTGACATCTTCTAAAGAATTTAAGTGGTTATGAAATTATGCATTCCATAATTGGTTATGAAATGCATCAATTATTAAGTGGTAAAAGTTTCACAAAAAATTAATTGATAAGGCAAATCAATTATGAGAAATAAAATGAGATGATCAAGCAGAGAGACTTGAAATTTTCCAACCTAAGTATTTCCGCAATAACATGTACTCGTATGATGTCAAGGGTGGCATCTTATATGATATTGCTTCTTTCCTTACAGATCATACACACAAGAGATCATATCGGTTAACCAATAGTTGGCCGATGATCTGTTGATGCAAATATAGCGTTATTTGCATGTTGATGTATATAACCAAATTCACGCTCAGCATCTCTGAATGGCGAAGATGGATATAATGTACATATGCATTTGTGTATGTATGTATGAAAACAGTTTTTTTACCAGTTTAATATAATGGCCGATAAGAATTCTGATTGGGTTACCAAAAATTCCTAAAAGCTTAAGCTGTTAGAAAAAGGTCCAATCTAGATTAAACTCCCACACTAATTCTTCAAATTGAGCAAGAAGATGATCAGTCCTGTGAAGTAAATTTCACGAGTTTTGGATGTACTTACGATGCCATTCTGAAACAAAGTCGTAACATCTAGCTGCACCCATAGAGCTTTGAACAGTAGGAAAACAACAAAAATCACCAGCAGGTACAAAGGATTCCTGCTCATCAACAAAAACACAGCAGTGCCAATTTGTACTTCTAAATTTCAAGATTAGATACAGCTTCAGGCAGAAAATGATCATATAAGAAACAATAAACAGAAACAATCACCTCAAAAGCACCATCAATTCATTGAAACCAAGGATTGCAATTGCAAGTATTGCCCATGGAGGAGGTAACACACTGTTACCACGTTTATGTGCTTCCTGACATAACGAAAGCAAATGTAACAAACACAATTACAATACACATTTAGATACCTTGATTAAACATGTGAAGCTGAATCAAGAAAGAAAATTATCATCCAGATCAAGGAGTGCATTTGTCTCAATGTTGCTATGATGAGAATTATAATGTTTCTGATAAATTTTTCATCAATACTTGTTCTAGTACAAATACAATCTAGTACAACAAGACAAATAACTATGCTAGGCTGCTAGCAATTAAAATGCTTCTACGTTGTTTGCAGCCTATATTCACAAGTTCTTCTAAAGAAATCAGCAGAGTAGCAGGGGCCTATGAGGGAATAACATATCTATCGGAACTCTTATTTTATTCAAATTATTAGACTTGATTTACAACTGATATGAACTTAAGGTAGACTGGCCTGCATACTAATCTAAATGTAATATGCTAATGGTCAGAACTAATCAAGTCATCAGAATTCTTTCTTCACTTTAACTTAAGTGGAACTGAAATGGTCCAAGGAAAGAAGAATTCAGAATAAAATTGCTAGTTATAGTCATGAGAAGAATAAAAATTGCAATAATAATTTAAAAAAGACAGTAATATACTAATATGTACCTGTGCAGATATTGCTTGTGTGACAGAATATTCAGTCTCTGTCTTAAATTGTCTCCATAAAGATTTGCATTGCACAGGAGTGATCAATGTGTTTGATGGAGAAACCTGGTCCAAGTATACATCAAAGCCTGTCTAACACTCTTAAATTGATTTTCTGTACAAGCCCACAGCAGGATGAATTTCAAAAGTACCTCTTCCCATGTGCTTGAGGCAAGTGGATCTGTTGATGTTACAGGCTTCATTTCTTGTGCAATTGGAGCATCCATAAGTGTTGATAAAAGACTGGACTCAATCTTGTCTGGATTTTCATCCAAACGTATAGCAGCCATAACAGACAAAAGTTTCAAAGCCTGCATCATGATCATATTAAACAGATACTGAAAGTTCAAAACTTATAGCAAAAGGATAAGAGCCACTAAAAAAGGAAGGTACTTCAGCACGGGCATTCTTTGTGATCTTCCGCACATCTTCCTTTCCTGTCCAGACTCTAGGCATGGAGTCCTTGTCTTGGCTAAACACTGCTGAGAACCTGGAAAAAATGCATCATAAAATCTGAAGAAACATGTGAAATCTGTGGCATGAGAAACTACAGATTTAATGGTTACCTATCCTTCATTCTAATCAAAACCTTGCCAGCTTCTTCTCTAGCTTTCTTTTCCACTACACTTCTTGCAAATTCCTTTAGATTCATGATCTTTTCATCAAAAGCAACTTTGTCCAGTTCAAATCCAGAAAGGGAAGATGAGAATTCAGAGAGGGCATTCTCAGCCTCATGCTTATAAAGATTTCTTATTGATGCCCAAGTATCCTTCCCAGCAGCTTCAAATAAACACTCCACAGGTTCAGCAAGTGATTCTGTTAGCTTTGCCTGTACAGCAATGAATCATAAAAACATCATCCTAAAAGGGGCTCTGCCAAATATACATACATACATACATACATACATACACACATACATACATAACACTGTTGAAATTTGCAACATAGAGTAAAAGGGATGCTTGACCTCATAACGCCTAGTCAATTCAGACATTTTTGCATTCTGAACAGAATGTGCATGAGCATCAATATCACGAGAAAGCTTCTCTCGAACTCTGGAAGCATCCCAGTCAGCCTGACTTAATGCAGCATCTGAAGAAAAAGCTCAATTTATCTGGTTCCAATTTATCTTGTATTGGCAAATTGAAAAGATAGTATATTTTTGCTTTGATTACATAAGTAAATAGAAAATGCATAGCATTTGCTTAAATAAAAAAAGAGTATAATTTAAATTGAAATGAACATGATCCTAAAGAAACGTGCGAGTCAATCAAAGAACACAAAGAAAGCACTTGCGAATCAGACAGTTGTATGCTAGTATCAATGTGACTCGAATTTCATCTAGAATTTTCCTGCAAACTCACTATGTCAATAATTCACAGAGGAAATTGTTGTATGTTGTCATGACCCAGATTGATGAGTTAACTAACCCATTAACTTATTGAGCCTAAACCACTAGTATTTAGTGAGGTAATTTTCCTCTGCTCTCAAAATTTTGGTTTGTTTGAATGCAAAGTTGCAAACGATTGTACTTGTTTTCGATTTTAATCAGCGAAGTTTCATTTAACAAAAAAAGGAAAAAAACACAAGAAGGCAATATGTGCTATCTGACAATGCTTCTGGATTCACTAGTCATCTTGTCTCACTAACATCCAGGTTAAATAAGCTCACTTGTCTTTTAATTTCTTCTATGAATATGTTATTTTTTAATTTTATTATAATATGAAATTTATATGTAAAAAGAACATACCCGGTGCATTAGGCTCTCACCAATGTAAGAGTCGAGAAGAGACAATATATGCAGCCTTACCTCTAAATATAAAGAAGTTATTTCCATGACTCGAATCCTAGTTTTCTAGTTGACAAAGGAGCAACCTTTTGTACCAACAGCTATGTTATTTTTATGTCTAAATGAGATATTTTGAATCATCAAAATTATCATTGGAAATAGCATGCATGTACATCCTTTTCAGTTGATTTAGGAAAGGAAATGTATATCTTATACTAAGGTATCTACTTTTCACTATCAACACTATGTACTATCAGTATTGGAGAAACCAAGCTCAATAAGCTAATTAAGCATTAGAATCTTATATAAATAAATAAAATAACAATAGAATATATTGCTATCATTCTTACTATTAACACTATACTGTTGTAGATTTTAAGTGCCACTCTATGGCAGCTGGTACATGTAGTACAAGCATAATAACAGCATGGCATTTTATCAATTCGTGCATTATCAAAAGCGTGCCTATAACTTTACTTTAACATGTGGAATATGTTGATTTGTCTTGGTAGGCATATTATTGAAAAATTCTTACGCCACAAAATATATAACTTATTCAAGAACTATTTCTTTCCAAAATGGTAATTCATAATTTGGTAGGTTTACTAAAATTATGTTGTAACTCCCACATAG